ACAGTTACTTTTGAGTGACTCAGTATGCTTTATAGAGGGAATATTCATTGTCTGGACCCTGCTTTTCTTTTATATTTATTTATCTATTTGTTTATTTATTTAGGGCAGTATTTTTGAGAACTTTAATGCTGTTCAGCAGACAATGCAAGACATTTTGGCATTCATTTGCATTTAGGGTCAAATCCTGTTTGCAGGCAATAACCAGGCAATTAGCATGAGATTCCTGTAGGGAATGGATTACTGAGCCAGTACATTGTTGGCCTCTGGGTAGCTGTTTCTTGTAGTCTACTCATTTCCCCCCTCCGCTTCCAGATACTCATCCTTCTTCACCATCCCAGGGAGAGCTGAATGTGGAGACAGTGTGGAATTTCTCTATGCAGGACAAGGTATGATCTTGTATTTGCATTTAAATCCTGCTTTATACTTGGTTAATATCCATATATCTAAACCAGCCAGCAAAGTTTAGACCATCCAGTCTACTGTGCTGCCTGCTGTGTTGCTTGGCCTGGACCTGCACACTGCATGTGACATGTGAAGGACCGGATCTGGAATGTGTGGCACACAGCGCACAGCGCTGGTCCTAGGTGCTCACACTGCCTGCACTGGATCAGTGTTTAATTCAGTGCAGGGAGCCAGTCTGTGCACCTGATCCAGCCTCATGCCACTCATCTGACCTGTGGCTCAGCTTTGTACCACTTACCTGGCCCACTGGGCCTGATGGGTTTGACACCCCTCATCTTAACATGGTTAATCTGTTTTATACCCATTTTCATTTTTCAGAGAATAGCCTCATGTGAAATGATCAATGACCATGAATAAGTAGCTGATAGTGCTCAGTATGGCAGGTGCTAGCTAATTGCATGTGCTCATTCTGCAGCTGCTATGTGATCCAGCTGAGGCAGATCATGAAGGTTCATGTGAACCCTGACTGTGGTCAACAACAATGTCAAACAATGGTTTGTTTGTTTCTGCATGATGACAGTAAAATGCCAAGGAGCAATCCTAGCTGTTTAATAGTTTTCCATGATTTTGTGCAGTACAAATGCTGAACAAAGCACAGTAAACGAGTGATGTGATGTAATGTATTTTCTAAAGAATTTGGCAAGAAAGAGATGATCATAAATCATTTCAGTGAGTAGGATGCTCTTTGTGAAAATAAATGCATAAAGTTCTGCAGCCTTAAGTTGCAAGTGTGCAGCATTCCTGATGTTCAACTTTGTAAGTCCAAAATACAAAATGAGATCCTATGTTTTAAAATCCTGTTTTAAAATGAGCAAAAGCTGGCTTTAAATTAAAAAGAAAAATAATAATAGTCATTGTAGGTGTATTCTCCCATAATGCTTATTTTATAAGCTGTACCGATCAGATCTGAGGGCTGAAGATTATAAGGATAAAAGTGCAATCACTTGTTATCTTGCTGAAAATATAGTACAGGTCTCTTGTATCTTGTACATTATGGGCCCACATTTTATAACCAAGCTGAAATGTTGATGGGTTGTAACTTTTGGCCTGTGTTGGACAATTTCTATGTTGTAACCTGCAAAAACTCAAGGTATTCATATATGGATAACTCCAATTAGAACTCATCATGTGGTGACATATGAAAATAAATGGTTTTTGTGGGCAGAAAAATGTAGAGGCAATTGGGGAGGGACGGGGAATAGTCGTAATTACGCTGTGAGATTCCAGGAAAGGCAAAGAGCAAGAGCTGAGTCTTGGTAAAATGGCAGGTATGACTTGGCTTTGTGTTGTTTTTTGGCAAGAAAGAGTTGCCTGTTTTCAGTCTGTAGCCACCTCTAATCAAGGAAACAGGATGTGTACATTTGACAGTATCACTGATTTCCCCTCCAAGACAAAACTGACTTACAGGACTCCAAAAACGCTGCCCCTTAGCAAAGGGACAAAATGACATGGACTTCCAAGAGAAAAGGAAAAAAGCATACGTACAAGGGCTTCTCCTTCTTCCTCATTTCTGCTATCTCTTTTGCTGAGTACTGGGTTTAAATAACATATTATAAGGAACCCTATGCATGCTCCTTACAATGAGAATTTTGTACCCCAGTGCTTTTTTCAGTATTTTCTTCCCAATTGAGAAAAGTATCTGTATTCAATAAGGACTTAAGCACTTGTGTATATCCCATTGAAGTTAATTTACTGCCCTTAAGTTGCTTTCCTCAACCTAAGGAGTGTAATTTTTTTTAGAACTAAATCAGAAGTAATGGCATGAGATTTGACTGACCAATCATAACTTGGGTATGGAGCTCAAATCTGAAGGGCCAATTATTTGCATAGAAATGTTAATCAATAATCCAGAGAATAAAAACTTTCACCAAAAAAAAAGTAATCTGGCTACATTCAAACAACAAGTGATAAGGAAATTGTAGTAGGAAAATAAGCTAAATGTGCCAAGCAAAATTGTTTGGCTGGATTTCTTCACTTGAGCACTATCTTAATTTCAGAGACCTTTTCTTTTTCTTGGTGTTGCAAGGCTTGAGCTTTTCAAGAACATTTTTCTGTCATCTATCTCATGGAGGGAGCCCCTAAGATATTCCATGTCTTCCTGATCCAGGCTTTTTGCAGTGATCGCTAGAATGTCCATTGGAAGCAGTGAATGAAACCATTAAAAATGAATGGCATTTTCAACGTGTTTCAAGGCTTGATGTGAACTATAGGGCAGGGAGCAGGCTTCTAACAGTGCCCCTTTACTCCCAACCTCCAAGCACACTCTGCATGTCCCCAGTATTGGCTTTGTTGCACAAGGCCCATATTGTATTCCCCTTCCCCTCCCCCCAATATTCATATATATTTCAACAGATGTACTGTTAAAAGTAAATATCACAATTACAGGCAGTGTCCACAGACTACGTATCAAAGGTGGGGGGGAAATAAAATGTTTTGCTGTTAATCAACATTTTCCATGTTGTCAAGAGAATGCTTTGGCATTAAAAAGGAAATTGGAAGGTTTGACTATAAATTTCATGTTAGCAAATGCTGCAATTTATGTTGAATTAATATTTCCTGTTCATACAGTGTAGTGTGTTTAGAATAGGGAAGTGTTCCAGTTATGCACTGAACAAGAACACTGAAATGTCTCTTGTAGTAAAAGTTTATTAAATGTTGTGCCCTCATGCCACGCGCAGAACCTCCATTAACAGAAATGGCAGTTTCCCCTGTCTTCAGGAGCTCTGGATGTGAGAGTTTTCCTTTCAACAGTTCTTTGATGTCCTCTGGAATATTCTTTCTATAATTCTCTTTTTCTTTAGTTGTCTGTCTCATTTCATAGCCCAGCATGCTCACCCCACCCCTCCTTTGACCACTCACTCTGATTGTATTTTAGTCTATCAAATATTCTGGGAGCTACTGTGCCTGATAAAGGCAGTACAAAAACGACATGTGTGCCTTTGGATCAATGGAAGTTCAGCTCTTAGACGACAAGCTCAGAATTCAGCAGAAACGCACCTTAGTGTTCTGTTTTGTCAAGAGGATTTCCACAAGCAGCTAACTAACAAGATAGGGATCAGACTGTTTAATAACCTGATTAAGATGGTAAGAAGCTGGTTTAATTATATCATCCAGAGGTGACTGCATGTGTATCTGCTTAATTCTTTCAAAGAGGTTTGTCCTCTTTCACCTACTATGTCCGATATTTTTTAGTTCCATAGTTCTTTGATATATTCACAATTCTGCAGCAGAGCTGGGGGAAATTATCACTTGGTTTCTACTTAGGCCTTTCTGCATTAATGTAAATAAGACTGTGAGGTACCTTTTGGGTGATTTACTCATTCAAAGGAGATTGCTAGTATTTACTAATTTCTCAATCATTCTGTAATGGTACAGTATGTACAGTGTTAAGTAAAGATGAAAATGAGAGACTGAAATTAATTGATTTTTCTTTAATATGTATATCTTTTAAATAGGAAATGGGTAAATACAGAAAATTGAGGCTTGAGAAAATAACCACATTTGTTTATCACTTCTAAATATTTCACAGGCTGGGGATATGCCCTTCCAACATGATCACCAGTGTCATGAAAAATAAATATATACAGTAAAGTAAAATAACCCTGAGACACCTCATTTTTAAATGATCCTCCCTAGCTATAAGACTAGCCAGCCTCTTTAAATCCACCTCATGGTTCTCTAGTTAATGCATCTCTCTAAAACTTTAATCTGGCCCTGCTAGCAAGTGTTTCTTTGTTTGGAGTCAGAGCATGTGCTCCATTGAGGTTCCTCCCACCCCCTAGACGCTAGGTACCCTTTTGAGCCACTTCGAAAAGTCCTGGTGTAGCGGCCATGCCCTCTACGTCCACCAGATATGTTAGGAAAGCTTTCTGTCTCTCTGTGACAGAATTCTTCAGGCTGTACTTTATTAAAGCTTGTGCCTTAAAGACACAATCTATCTCATCTCATATTCTCTTTCTTCCCTAGGGGTTGTTTAAATAGATTTGTGACATCCCCGAATGAAGAACCAGGAGCAGGTGTTAGTGGTGCCAGAATATAATTTCTGGAAGTATTGCTTTCCTGAAGGGGTAACTTCTACAAAGTGAGTTTCAGACATGGCATTTTACTTGAAGTAGGGATAACAAGTAGCAGTATACTCTTTTGGGGGGCTTTGAAATGCAGCAGTCTCTCCAAAGAGGCAGTGAGATTTTTCATTACGTGTTCTCCCTGTCCCTCAACTTTACATGTTTCTGTGCAGATTTGTGCATCACTGCATTTAGTTTAGTTTTGTTTTGACCTGTTAATTGCCAGAAGTGTTCAGGGACCATTTTCTAACATTATTGCAACTGAGTTATCTAGAAAGCTTCCCTTAAAATAAAACTTGGAGCATGAGAAACGCCCACAACAACTCTAATAAAAAGAATGAGTCTGTATTTTATGGCAAATTAACAAGTTTAGAAACCATACACAATGTGTCAGACTTCACAACAGTGAAGGAAGTTGCAGAGCTATTTTGCTGACTCACATAAACAGCTGACTTCTGATAAAATGGGCTCAGTCTTTGCATCTTTAGATATGTCAGATTAAGAGAACCTGCTGTCTCTAGTGATCATAACATTCAAAGAAGTAGGAAAATCAAAGCCGATATCATTCATTCTTATGTACAGGTACTTGAGTGATTTGCCAGGTACATCTCATATTAGATTTTGTTTTGTTTGTGGAAACAAGGGAAGATAATACTTAGCTCTGGGAATTGGCAAGTAGTCTGCAAAGGTGAGAAATAAAGGAAAATAAGAGCCTGAGCCCAGCCTTGAGGAAGTGTAAAGCCCTTCCCACCATCTACTGCCATGAGAACATTTAAAATTGTGCTTAAATGAGCCAGAGGACTTCAACTGCCCTCTCCCCATCCCAGTGCTGGGATAAATTTCACCTGCAACATGCTTAC